GCTTACAAGCAGTCCCAACAAACCACGACACGTTTGTAGTGCAAAACTGAACAGAAAAAAATTACATTCCTCACCATATAAATGGCTGTGCAGCAGATGCCCATAAGGAACTTTTTATAGAACAATATAACAAGTTGTCGGCAAATAGAGCTGATAAAAGTTACAGAAACTAAAATAAACTTTTTATGAGCATGAGGATAAAGCAGAAGGATTGCTTGTGCCTGGCAAATTAAACGGCAGTCTTTTTTGAGATCTGCAAGAAACACGGTGTTCCTCCTACCTCTATGAAAAGTCATAATATTGCCAAAACCAGGAAAAGTCAACAGAATTGTAGGAGCATTCACTCTGATGGCTTTTTTATGTAGATACGAAGGTATACGTTTTGTTCCAAACCCAAGTGAGCTGCTTCAGCCTGATTTCCATCCAACTAGTTTGATGCACATTTTAAAAAGTGTGCAAGAAATCCTGAAGGGAAATGCCTGAAATGTGAATAAACTCGCATAAACATTTAGGCTAATGCACTTGGCAAAGGTGGCTTATCTAGAGTTTCACATTAGTTGAATATGTGCATTAAAGTGATGGTGCATTATTCACATAAACAATGATGTGTTTTTTTACCATTTGGCTGCCAATATGCTCATTGGTCAATTCATTAGGCCTCACAGCCTGGTAATAGGGATGCACCGAATGTTCGGCAACCGAAATTATTAACCGAATAAGCGAAAAGACAGAATAAATTGTACCGAACAAAGACGTGACGCGATCAAATTGAGGCGCGCGCTAATGCAGCAAACATGACGGCAGTGTGGAAACATTTAAAGCTGTCTGAGAAAGTACACGCAGGAATTGCACGTGTTCAAATAGCGCTGCACGAGCTCGCGGCGGCAGGGTTCAAGGTTCAAAGTCCAAAGCGCGAGGGAAATCTGCGCTGAAACTGTGTTACTCGTCAGCTGCTCAGTAAGGCATGTGACAATGCGATACGTGCAACAAACGTCTTCCCAAATTCGTAATGAGAATCATTTGTCAACAAAAAGAAGCACTGAGATCTTCCTGTGCGTTTCTGCCAAAATAAAAGTTGAGAAAAAGCAAGAACTTCATCAACATTAATAAATGTTATTGTAATTTTACTGTTGTTCTGTAAAATAAAATAAAATGATAATGAAAATAATAATTACAACAGCTCTATTAATACATTTATTGTAACATTTACACATAGTGTTCAGACTAGGATCTATAATATTTTCTAATGTTTTAAAATAAGTCTTTTCTGCTCATCAAGGCTGCATTTATTTGTACGGCAAAACATACATGCCTGATTCAAGAAGGGGGTCTAAAAAATGGGCAAAACATATTATTTTACTAACTTATTAGTTTTAAGTTAAGTTGTGTTTTATTGGTATAATGTCTGCTAGAATGTTAAAAAATGTTCAGTGTTAAGTAAATATTTTTAAATTGTTGTTTTGTAAATGATTTTTTCTTTGAAAAGCAAGACAAAACAGTAAAAAGCACATTTTGGCTATTTAATTTATGCAATGGTGAAAAAAATGTGAGTTGAAAAAACGTGTTCGGTATTCGGCCTTCGGCCCAGTGTTTCATTTTGTTCGGCTTCGGCCAAGAATTTTCATTTCGGTGCATCCCTACCTGATAAAGATCAAAAAAGTATTTTTGAATTCGCAGAAAGGCTAAATGCGAAACATTTAGGATGAAAACCCAGCTACTGTCTCTTGCCTAGATAGGCAGCATCTAATTTGAAATGGACATTTTACATTTATGCATTTGTCCAAAGCATCACTGCACACTTTTTGCCATTATGTATGATCCCTGGGGATCAAACCCATGACCTTGATGTTGCTAGCGCCATGCTCTACCAGCACTATAACAGGTGAGCAAACAGATTGACTGATTTCTATGGTTATACATATGCAAAAAGCTCATTGGATTTCAAGTCACGCGACATCAGATTAACATAATTTCGCTTTGTCCTTTGTCTTGGATTTCTTCTTTCACTGAGCTCATTGCAACACATTCTAAGATTGCATTCACTACAAAGGATACATACAGTGCTGCCTTACAATTTGGCTAAATAAAGCTGTCTTAGGAGGCAGCAAAGTTAAGTTTCCTGTTGCTTTGGACCAAAACTCAAGACAAAGCTCACTAGGTTGCAGAACAACTGTGTACAGACTCTAATTCTTTACCTAACAGCGAAAGACCAGATGGACTGGATATTGTTCAGCGCCAAAGAGGGAAGTCTGACACGGCTCTGCTATCAGCGGATGCACATAAGCGCTTTAGAAAGGGTTGAATGAGCCTATCGTTTTGAAATGCTGAAGAGATTTGGATTTGGTGGAATGGCTTGTTCTATAAAAATCCTATAGCTGCCGGGCTGATCAACAACATGGTGTCAAAGTCGTTTAACATTTCCAGAGGCAGGGCTCCTCTGTCCTCTGTATAAGTGCCAATGAACCTTTTGTAGAGCATAAAATAGCCTTTGTGCTATTGATGTCTTACTCTATCTAAACTGCCTTGACACATCTAATCATGCTTTACTAAGTCTTATTGACACATTTAGGAAAACATCAGGCTGCAAGATTAATAAGCCTCATGATACTTCATTACCCATATAGAATTACTACTCTGAAAATGCACCTACTACTAATACATATGGACCGACAGATGGTGGATTTGAATGTCTTAATAAAGAATCAAATTTAAGAGTTTAGATCTAAGCTGCTGCAACATACCTTGTTACAGCAAAAAAAATAAATGGTGGTTTCCATTGGTTCCGCTGGTTTCAGGGTCTCTCTCTTTCAAAATGAGAGCTCATGTGAGGGACGCTGAGATGCCCAAACTGAACACAAGATTGAAATGATTGCAGTGCATCTATCTAATGTGCACCAGCGATGTTACATTATGACGACATTCTCGACAGCTGTGTAATGTATGAGGTTCAGAGGTTCTGTATCACACATTACAGTAAAAGAAAGTCAAATTCAGAGCAGCTATGAGACGCTGATTGAAACATCATATCAGCAGAGAAAATGCATTATGCTGTATAAATAGAGGGCTTCTGAGGACACCTCCTGTAATACATTTTTAAACCTATTGACGTGATTGATCAGTTGTCATGCAGGAATGTGGTGTGTATGACCTTTACCTTGCATTTGCAGAAAGACTGAACAATATTGGAAAAATCAAGCAACCGGATGGGTGTTTTTATGATTTCTGCAGCTTTAATGATGCAATTTTAGATGCCTCTCTCTTCAGTTTTGTTTCTAATCAGTCACGTTGACGCCCAGCTTGTGTTTTCAATCCGGCACACCTGCAGAGAACCTCGCGTGTGTTTATCCTCATGGGACCTGCTTTGGTCCTCTATAGAGGATATTTGTTTTTTGTAAATTTGTCTGTGGCCATATATACAACATTTTACAGCCACTTGCCTGGTGCATTTTGGGCTTTCAGAGAAATCAAACGTTGGGGGGTTTGGCTATGGGAATTGAATTTTCTTAAAGGGGTCATTTGATGCGATTTCAATTTTTCCTTTCTCTTTGGAGTGTTACAAGCTCTTGGTGCATGCATTTTATGGAGGATTGTTTACTGATCCTGGGAGAGTAACGTTAGACTTTTCAGACCGATGAGCTTTGTAAAAATCGACACGTTTCAGAAAGGCGGGGCATAGAGGAGAAACAATAATGTACAGTATGTGGAAAATAATGTGTTTTTTTTTACTTTAAACGCATAAACACATTTCATTACACCCACGTTTCAGAAAGGCGGGGCATAGAGGAGAAACAATAATGTACAGTATGTGGAAAATAATGTGTTTTTTTTTACTTTAAACCGCATAAACACATTTCATTTCACCAAATACACAAAATAATGTTCTTTTTAGCAGCATCATATGACCCCTTTAATGGCTGCACAGTCCATTTTATGAGGGTTTCTGCAGGTTTTAAGACTCTTTAAGACCAAGTAACGAAAATTTAAGGCATTAAAGATCAGTTTGGTCTCTGAATGTAAATCTTGTAAGTCTTGAATTAGCAGCGCTTCAAAGTTTGAAAATACAGCTTCTAATATATCTCCATCACTTTTGAATTAATTTGACAATAAATAAGTAAATAAAACCCCTTGTTTTCCAGTGCTTTGATTTAACATATTTTTAGGCCTCAATTTGTAGAAGGATTCTTTAAAATAAACGTCTCAGTCTCAACATTCAGTGACTGTTTGAAACTACTTTTTGTTGAACTTATTTAAGACTTTGTAAAAAATAAAAATAAAATAATAGCAAATCACTGTTTATTCAGATCTGAATGAACTAGCAGGACCTAGAATCATTTTTATTATGGGAAAAATATGAAATTTGGTGCATTTTTGGTGCATTTTTTGCATTGAAATTTGGTGTTGTTGATATTTCTATGATGTAAATATGTAATGTAAAAATGCTTATAATAGTATAACAGACTACTTGCATAAAATGCATATAAATATCAGTTCTTAATCTGTATCTCTCAATATTATATCTTAGTAAGATGATATTTTAAATGCTTAGTTTGATGATCAAAGCTCTGTCATTTTTATTGTGGCGGCGAAACAAATAATGCAATGCAACACTGATGATTTAGAGATGAACAAAAATCCTTCCTCAAAAGCTTGATGATCATATGTGATACTCAACAATTTAACATGATTTTTCTCAAAATAATAGAAGTGTGTAATTCATAATTCACGTTTACTTCACACAAAACAAAAAGTCTGTTGTTGGCTGAGCATTTTGTCTAGATTTGAGCAGCTAGTAGTCTCATAAAGACTCAATAACAGTTTCGTTTTCAGCTTGATAGCATTCGTGTGCATACACATCGTATAATACCGCATTAGCCATGGATTATTACAGCCATAAACTGAAATGCTTATGAGGGAGCCTGAATGACGAGCCTAAACCAAACCCTGAATTTGCAGTCACAGTGCGTTTCTCTTCTAGCGGTTTGTATTTGTGTCAGACTCACCCCTATAGGCTGGAAGATAAGACCATCGACTTCATGGCTGACCTGCGAGGTGAAACTGCCCTCCAGGAGCTGTGAACAAAGCAAAAGACAATGAGAATATATAATGTGTATATAGTACAAAGAACATGTAGCCTATAGGCAGAGACACTCTCCAGGAGAGCACAAGGTCAGACTGCTTCCACAAACACAGAGATGTTTCGAAAGAGCCACAGAGTTTAGTCTTTTAGAGGAAACCAACATTTGAACGGCTCACTGCTTGCAAATTAAACTGGGCTTTGTGAACACATATAAAAAAATGTGCATTTGCATGCAAGCATTAGTGTCTGGCCAAATTCATCATAGAAACTGTGACGAGTGAAAATACTGTGGCACTATCATAACATTGTGCTGTTTGTTTGGGGCTGTTTGACCAACCAATGGCAGGGCAGTATGTAAATTCAGAGCCTTAAAGGAATAGAAAGGAATAGGAAAAATGGCTCGTATTAACTCGTGAGACTTCCGTTCATCTTAGAAATGCAAATGAAGATGTTTTAATGAAACCAGAGCGACATCAGTTCATTACACCAAAACTTTGACAGCTGAAAAAGTTCATTAAGAGATCGCAAGAGTAATCCATATGAATAGAGCGGTTTGATCAAAGTCTTCCAAAGAGGCACGATCACTTTATATGATGAAGAGATTGCATTTAGACTTTATTCACATATAACCACACAGAGCACATCAAATACGGCAAATGGAAGCTTAAATCAATAAGGCTTGTTTTTGCGTGTCACACAAGCACTTTGAGCTTCTGCAAGAACCAATGAGGTTTGACCTTGCAAGTCAAGCAATTACATTTGAGCTTCTGATTACCATATCTGATGTGTTCATTTGATGTTTGTGTGTTGATGAATGTTTATATGGGGCACAAAAGCCTAATATAAATCGGTTCATTTTATAAAGCTATCATTTATGATCTCTTAATGAGTTTTTGAAGTGTCAACGTTTTGAGTGAATAGACAGAAAACTCTCAGGTTTCATCAAAAACGTGTTCTTTTTGTTTTGAAGATGAACAGAAGTCTTATGTGTTTGGAACAACACGAAGGCGAGTAACCGATCACAATTTTCATTTGGGGTGAAATGGCCCTTTAAATGCTCATGAATAATTTAAGTTTACATGAAACATTTGCAACGCATTTAGCTTCCAAAATATGATGTACTTGCGAGTGTTACTGGATATGCAATGAGAAAAATGAGTAACACTTTAGATTAGGGAACATATTCACTAAATAAGAGTTTTCGCTCAATAATAATTTGCTGGTCTGGACTATATGCTCCACTAGGAATCAAGTAGATTAAAAACAAAATCAGAGGGTCTGGTGAGTGGTTTCAGAGGTGGAGCAAGTAATTACACATTTAATTAAAGACACAAAGACAAACACAATCCGTGTATCATTCGATCATTCGTTTTTTGATTTAATATTGAAAGTAGAAAAATGAGAAAACAGCTCCTTTTTCGTTTTTTTGTTTTTTTCCAAAAAACGAAAAATGAAAATTCAGCTTAAATGTTCGTTTTTCGTTCATGGGTGGAAAAATGAATAAACAGCTTGAATATTCGATTTCTACATGTGGGCGGGAATTAAACGCCCCTTTCTGCCCTCAGCCGAAGATCAAACCGTGCCATCATCAGTTCTTCTGCAGTATCACGCAGCAGAATAATAGTCCTCCACTGCTGCAGTTGTACGGATT